ATCTTCCTTTTCCCCCACTTTTCCTGCCCATACAGAGGCTAGTGCAAAAGATAGGTTCCCCTGTCTTTTTCTCACTGTAAGTCTCCTTCACATGGGTAGACAGCTGAACCTTAGCTGCATGTCTTGTCACCCAGCTGATGTTACAATCTGCTTTCAGTTCTGTCCCCCATTTGCTACTTTAAGGGGTTACAATTATTCTCTTGTCTATCAGCCATTTTGGAGGTGTCCCTGTAATCATATGGCAGGAGGCATGGCATGTTACCATACAGAGGAAGGCAGCTTGCAAATAGCTTATGGGTTTACGTAGAGTAGCATAGATGAGAAGTTACTTAGAAGAGGGTAGTGGGTGACCCCCAAACAGCTATGTCACCAAAAAGTCCAACCCCAGCATGGACGGCTGCTTCCTAAGAGCTGCATAAATGGAGTGCCCCCTTTGGCCAGATTTGCATTTATTCCAGCCCCTCCTGAGACCATATAGCTGGGCAGAGTCACATACAGCTGGGGAGGAGGTACAGAGGGAGGAAGTGACTATGGTCTGAGATGAAGGACCCTCCCCCAGTTCTATAAGGGAATGTTAATAGGCCCAGGCTCATGTCAGACATCACACCTGTGACCATGCTGTGTTCCACAACATCCTATGCAATAGCACACATGCAGTGAAGACTCAGCCACCCCACATCCAGTATTGTCACACTTGAGAACCTTGAGTTTAAGAATACTACTAGACTTTGTAATGCTGAGATTCTCCAATAGAAGTCTTTTCTCTTTCTAATGGTACAGAATTTCTTGAGAATTGCTTTTGTGAGTCTTAAACTTCTCCTGGTAACATGTTTTTGTAGCCTAATAAGTACCCATTCTTACAATAATGAGAACAGCCTTTTCCCTCTCCCTGTGGGCCTCATGTTTTCACTGTGGAAATGAGCTTCCTTATCTCTGAGGAGAATTAAGAACAGTGTTATTATTATTCAGAGTCTGTTTAAAACTTAGAAATGTATTTTTATTTATTATATTTTCACAGAAGACAGCCTATAAACACTCTGGGGAAGAATTTAGAAATAGAACATCACGAATAACTTAAATGAAGGCAGTGCTTTCCATTTTTATGAAATCATCATTTTTGGCAGCAATTCTTTTGAATACCAGTTGCCTCTGTTAGGAGAGTTCAAAATGTATTTCCTGCTTCTGCCTTAAATCTAGGCAGTCAGGTTTGTTCTTGTACAGTGTCTTTCATTCCTTCCTAGGAAGTCAAATGGTTAAATCTGTGGCTTTGACCTGCCATTTTCCTTTCTTTGGAGGGGTGCTTTTTAAGACAAGAGCTCACTATTATCGACTAGTCTGGCCTTGAACTCACGATCTTCTAGTCTCCCAAGCTTGGTTTGCCATTTTCTTTCTCTTTTTAAAGTTAATGTATTTATACTTATTTATTGTATGTATGTGGGGGGGGCATGCATGTGTGTGGACGCCACAGAAGACATCCTCTAGAGCACTGCACCTATTCCCTTATCTCCACCATGTCCTCCTCTGTAGCTCTCCAACTGGAGCCACCATTATTCACCTAGGCTAGTGGTCAGCCCCAGGGATCTCCTTGTTGCTCTGTACACACACACACACACACACACACACACACACACACACACACACACACACACAGAACACACACTGGGTAACAGGCACAGACCATGCTCAGCTTTTTATGTGAGTGCTAAGGCTCTGAATTCAGGTCCTCTCGCTCATATGGCGAGGGGGGGGGAGTTGGGGGTGGTTTGAGACAGGGTCACTCTGTAGCCACAACTGGCCTGGAACTTGCTCTGTAGACCAGGTTGGCCTTGACCTCACAGAAATCCGCTTGCCTCTACCTCCTGCTCCTGAATCCTGGGATTAAAGGCATATACCATCACACCTGGCCTTTTTTTTTTTTTTTTTTTTTTTTTTTTTTTTTATCTTAGCCATTTTCTTTTATCGGTGGTCATTGTAAATCTTCCTAGCTATGCATATCAAATTAATACACTGCATTTTCATCTTTCCTCTTTAACAAAGGAGGCTCATTGTTGTTAAAACGATTTTTAAGATTTCAGAGGTAAAAAGCTATGTTCCAGTTAGTCCTTTTTGTGTGATATGAAGGGACAGCTACTTTACCCTCAAAAGGTTTTTCTAAATGACCTGACAGTGGACAACTTAACAAGGAGAAGACATACAAATTTATTAACTTGTACAGGAGGCAGCCTGTGACATAACATGCAGAGTGGTTACACAACAGGCAGTGAGGTTTGGTACCTGTGGAGAGACAGAGGGAATTTTTGAGGGGTGGCAACTGGTTATTAGGGAGAATGAGCGGGCCCAGAGACCAAGAGTGGTTTGTACATGATTCTCTTTGAAAGTGAGTTGGTTGGGAGGTAATCAGCAGCTTGTGACAGTCTATCCAGGTGTGACATTCCCCAGTTTTCTTTCCTATGATATCTCAGTTTATGAAACTCAGTGATGGTCTCATCTTTAGAGGGACAAAGGAGTGGAGCTCTCCCAGCATCCCCCAGTCTCCAAGGGCCTAAATTTAAAAATAATCAGCAGAATAGACTGCTGGATTTGGGGGTGATGTTCCATGAATGGGTGAGTAGTTTTTATGTGTTCTACAGCTCTTAGTCTTAATTCTGCTTTCTTACAAGTGATTTGTCACTGAAAAAAAAAGAATAAAAGTAGGTCCATGGATAAATAATGGGAAAATAGCCTCTTGCCCTTAGGTAAGTGAAATATTAGCTAGTACTCCTGTCTCAGAGCTGAAGTAGCACCCACAGATTGTAACCAGCAGGAGTTTGCTACATGTGCTTTCTGTAGGCTCCAGCATGTCACATTATGAGGAATTGGAATCAGCAGTCAGGAATATTTCTTCTCACTAGAATGTTGTCATTTGCTTGGTTATGTAAGTTGCTAATTTTTGTGATACTGTCAAGTATTTTGAGTGTCTTTTTCTTTTCCCCCAGATTTCATAAAATTATAGTGGCGAAAAAATACTACTATCCATTTTGACATAGAGGATAAAAAAAATACTTGAACTTCTCAGATAAAAAGCTTTGAAATACATGTTTTCATGAGGACTTTGTATTCTGTTATTTAAATCCTGTAGTGCACTTTGTACTTAATGTTGTTCTTAGAGTCTTTCAGTCCTTCCTGTGTTAATAACAGAGTTGTGAAAACAGAACCTTAAATAACGGCTAAATCTCAGTCTTGGTGGCATTGCCTCTCAAGTGCTTTGTAGATCCCTATATCTTGAATACAGTGTGAAGGGTATTTGGATTTCTAAAGAATTTGCTTACTGGGCAATGTGTTTCATTTGTTCGGGAAGGTACGCACATTGTGCCTTTCTGTGGTAACTGTGGGAGCTTGCAATACTTGGTCCCACCTCTCCTGTCTTCCCTTTATCTGAGAAAGAAAGGAAGAGAGGGTGGGGGAAAAGAAGAGAAGAGAAGAGAAAAGGAAAGCAGCAGACTGCTCAGTATCGCTTTCTCGCCTAATTTTTCCTGTTGTTGGTTTGTCTACATTAAGTGGAGTGTGCCTCACGTGAAGTAGACATCCCTTTCGAAGTCTGGGCAGATGGACTTACGTCGTTATCCTGTCTTGGTGCTTTTTACAAATGAGACTGGCAGGAGTCTTTGTGGCCAGGCCTTTTTAGATTATGATAAGCATCTTGAGTGACAGTGTATGAACGTAGTGAGTCAGAACTGGGGACGATGTCTAGGTAGTATGTCAGGCCATAGAAGCACAACTCATAAAATGATGTGAAACTGCCTTTTGTTTTGAGAACTTGGCTTGTACAGTGCTCCTGAAAGATAGGCAGAAAAAAGTATACTTTTGTAATTGTGTGCAACAAATAAAATTTGAGTCTTGGCTGTTTTTCCAAGGTATATCCTTGATTAAACTGATTTCTGTATAGGATGTCTTGAGATTCCTTAAATGAAAACAATTTTTTCTCTGTGTTTAAAGGACTTTTAACCAAAAAAAAAAAAAAAATCCTTTTCCTTCTTTAGGAATGTATCCTTTTGTTTCAGAGCACAGCTAGGGCCAGAAGGTGCCCTGTGTGTTGGTTGACACATAATGTACCATTTGTCAGTCATTTTGTTGCAATCCTATGTTGGTATTTTTTTTAACCATTTTAGGAGTGATGAGGAACATTTAAATATTTCAAGTTGGTGTTAAGTTGGAACCTTGTATTTTCAAAGAAGCACCTGGCTCACCATGTTCTGCTCTGTGGCAGCCTTGGGGGGCCAAGACCCATCCTTGTGCTTGTGAGGATCACGGTGCTTGAGGAGCTGTTGGGGTTTTTGTGACACTTCACAATTGCTGCCTGCTGCCTGCCTGTCCTAATCCTCTAAGTGATGAGGGACACTTCTGTGTGCTTTTGGTCCCTATTGAAGCACTGAAATGTCACCATGTTCTCTCACCCTCACCTGTTGTACCCGATCCACACCCACTTAGAATCCTGTGAGCTCCTTACATGAGAGGTGGCAGTTCTGTTTTCTCTGATGTTGTCATGACCTTAGCATGGTATCTCGAAAGCTCTTATTTAAAAATTGTATTTAAAATGATATCAAAACTGCTACTTTTTTGGGGGGGTAGCTTTGTGTTTTGTTGTTTGCCGTTCTGGGGATGGAACCAGGCCTTGCATGTACCAGGCAAGCGTTTCATCACTGAGCCATATTCCAGCCCCAAATCGCTACTTTGAATGCTATAAAAATTAGATGATTGCTCTTGTTGTGTGAGGAAATTTACTGCCCTTCTCTTGTTAAGAGGTGCTGCCGCCAGCATTTTGCTATAGTCAAGCTTCCAAATTGCTTCTGACAGTAGTGGCATATGTTGCACCCTGGCCAAAGACAAACCTCACCTGACTTCAGTGGCAGACGTGTAAATGGAATGCCGGTATGTAAATGGAATGCCGGTATGTGACTAAGACAGCAAAGAGTAATAGAGAACATTGCTCTTTCCTCTCTCCTTCCTGCTTTCCTTTGAAGGAGTGGTAAATGTGTTGCTGACAACTCCACTGTGGGTGGTAAATACCAGACTCAAGCTGCAAGGGGCAAAATTTCGGAATGAAGACATTATACCAACTAACTACAAAGGTATCATCGGTAAGTGTCTCTAGGCTGTGTTCTGTTTGAACAGTAAAGCTACACAGCAGACCTCAGATCCTAGCAGCCTTCAGCAAGAAGTTGTTAGCATTGATATCTGTGGTTAGGGAATCTATCCAGGCTGACCACAGCTGAGTCCCAGCCTCTCTTCCTGGGGTCAGCCCTGAACATGTTCTTCTCACAAGAATGACAGAAACACAAGAGGATAGCCCCGTAATGCCCTTACCTGTTGACGAGCCCAAGACAAGAAATAGAGGCATACTGCTCCAAAAAACTGTGTGTGTGTCTGTGTGTGTGTCTGTGTATGTGTCTGTGTGTGTGTGTCTATCTGTGTCTGTGTGTGTCTGTCTGTGTCTGTGTGTGTGTGTCTGTGTGTGTGTCTCTGTGTGTGTGTGTCTCTGTGTGTGTGTCTGTCTGTGTCTGTCTGTGTGTGTGTCTGTGTGTGTGTCTGTGTGTGTGTCTCTGTGTGTGTGTCTCTGTGTGTGTGTCTGTCTGTGTCTATCTGTGTGTGTGTCTGTGTGTGTGTCTGTGTGTGTGTCTGTTTGTGTCTGTGTGTGTGTGTCTGTGTGTGTGTCTCTGTGGGTGTGTCTCTGTGTGTGTGTCTCTGTGTGTGTGTCTGTCTGTGTCTGTGTGTCTGTGTGTGTGTGTGTGTCTGTGTGTGTGTGTCTGTGTGTAGAATTTGGGTTCTTAGTGTTTCATTTGCTTTTTCTTCTGAGATAGGGTCTACAGTATCGTAGGCTGGCCTCACACTCATTAAGCTGAGGATAAGCTTAAACTTCTGATCCTCCTGTAGCCAGGCATGACACACACAGTTACAGACAGGACAGTTGTTAGCCACCATGTGGGTGCTGGGAATTGAAACCAGGTCCTCTGCAAGAGCAGTCAGTGCTCTTAACTGCTGAGCCATCTCTCCAGTCCCGAGGGTTTTAGTTTTTTTTGGGACAGAGTTTTACTGTTTTCCAGGTTGACCTTGAACTCACTGTAGTCTAGGCTATCCTCAAATTTATAGCAATCCTCCTGCTTTATTCTCCCAAGCATTGAGATTGTGAACCACAATACCCAACTTACTATTGAGACAGTCTCACTATGCAACCGAGGCTGGCCTCAAACTTGAGACCCTCCTGCCTTTTAGTCTCCAGAGTGCTGGTATTACATGTGTATACCACCACACCCAGGCCAACTTAATATTTTTGAAGAGTATTATACTTTTTTATCCCTAATGTTGTCTTTGGATAAAGTTACCAGATTAGTATCTGGTGACTTTGAACATGTACTTTTTGTTGCTGTTGTTTTGTTTTGAGACATGGTCCATATAGACCAGGGTGGCCTCAAACTCACAGAGATCCACCTGCCTCTGCCTCCCAAGTTGTGCGCCACCACACCTGGCCTGAATGTCTATTTTTAAAGACAGTGTTTCACTATATAGCCCAGGCTGTCCTTGAAGTCTTGGTCCCCTGCTCCAGCTTCTCAAGTGCTGGGATTGTAATGGTGTGCGACCATACATTTCTGCTTCTTATTTTTTATTTTGGTTTTGTTTTGTTTTTTGAGACAGGGTCTCCCTATAGCCCCAGATGGCCTGGAACTTGCAATGTAGACAAGGCTGGCCTAGACCTGGCCTTGATCTCATGAAGATTGGCCTGCCCCTGCCTCTGCGTGCTGGACTAAAGATGTGTGCCACCACACCTAACTCTGCTTTTTAATAGTACCACCCTGCCAGGCTGTCCTTTCTCATGCATCTCTCCACGTAACAAGAACAGTGGTTTTCTTATAAATCAAATTCTGTGCAGTGGACTCCAGGAAAAGATCTTATCTTTTGTTATATTGGACTATGAGATTTATTAGTTTACAGTTCTGTATAAGACAGAGTTCTGGGTGTTGGTAACAGTTGAGCCTTCAAAACCCAGATTGTCAGGTAGAGATGCCTGTGGTAGAGTTCGGTACCACATTCTGATTATTATCAAAATGTAGTTAACCGAAGTGTATGTGGTCCATACCTGTAGTCTCAGCACTCAGAGACTGAGACAGGATGATCTAGTTAGTGTTCAAGGCCACACTGGGTTACACAGCAAGACCATCTCTCAAAACAAACACAAACGTAGCTGAGTAATGAACTGGCCCCTAAAATGCCACCATTAGAAAGAAGGTCTGTACTCTGGGGGCACTTGAGCAGAGCTTTCCTTGTCTTTCCTAGCTAGGACACTGTCACGGTGCTTTTTCAAAAGCTTGATTTCTTGCTTAGATGCTTTCCACCAGATCATTCGAGATGAAGGGATCTTGGCGTTGTGGAATGGCACCTTTCCCTCCTTGCTGCTGGTCTTCAATCCTGCCATCCAGTTCATGTTCTACGAAGGCTTAAAACGGCAGCTTCTAAAGAAGCGGACAAAGGTAATCTCTAATTTTGAAAGCAGCTGAATAATAGCGTCTGCTACCGTGTTTGAATTGAAACAGTTCATCCTTTGCTTTCTAGCTCTCTTCTCTGGATGTGTTCATCATCGGTGCCATAGCCAAAGCGATTGCCACCACAGTCACCTATCCCATGCAGACAGTACAGTCAATTCTAAGGGTGAGTGTTGGGGTTCTTCCCAAACGGAGTCCAGTGACACTCTAAAACACATAGCCTCTTTATCTAAAGCAGTAATGCAGTTGGCATGCCCAAGATGCCCATCCATCCTGTCCATGTGTTTGTTATGCTGCTAACCAGGCTGCCTGTCAGTTGCTACAGTTTGGTGTGGGGTGATGTTTACATGTGAATTTCCTAGGTAACATTTTATCTCAGGAAAGCCCCTATGTACTATTTGAGGACCCCAGGAAAGCATGGTTCCTTCTCATTCACATCGTTAGCCCAGTGCCACAGAGCACATTATCCTTTACAGAATCCGAGGTTAACACCTCTAGTTCACTCAGGAGTATTAATGGTTTAACTTTGCCAGAGCACTTTTTTTTTTTTTTTTTTTTTT